TTAAAATGTGGAGTGGAGACAGCCAACATGAAGCTGCTTGCAGCAGCTGGCAAGGGGAAACTGAGGCTTGCATCCCTTTTTTCATTTCCCCCCAGGGGAACTTGACCTCTGGGGCTGGGGCAGAACCCTCTGACTCTTTGCCTGCGGTTTCGGAGCCCCTGTGAAGTTCCTGTTTGTTTGTTTGTTTTGCTTTTTATGTCATATCCGGTGATGCTTAGGGATTATTCCTGGCTCTGTATTTAGGAATAACTCCTGGCAGGGCTTAGGGGACCATATGGGATTCCGGAGATCGAACTGGGTCAGCTGCATACAAGGCAAATGCCCTCCCTGCTATACTACTGCTCTGGCCCTAAGTTCCTGTTTGTTGCACGAATAAATGAGAGGGGAGAATTGTGTAGATTAAGGGTCCGTGCACAGTGCGCAGTCACGGAGGGACAGAGAGCTCCTGGGTTCCACACATTATAGATTCAGGAGCCCTTCAGGGCACCATGGAGCTGGGGAGGCTCAGGGCATGATGACAGCCATGAAGAATTGAGGGCAAACAGGGGGATTGCCCCCGCCCCCCAGTAGGAGGCTAGGAAGCTGCGAGAGAGGCAGGTTTTATGGGGGACAGTGGGTGAGTTCTGGCCTAAGACTGCAGGCTGGTGGCAGGTAGGAGCTCCAAAAGGGGGCTCCCCCGGCAGAGCTCAGCCTGTAGGCAGCAGCTTGGGTAACCCCAACATTTGGGGGAGGTTGGCCAGGCAGGCCAGAGCGGGCCATCTGAGCCAGACTCTGGATCAGGTGTCCGCCAGTGGGGTGGGACTGGAGCCAATTGGAGCCCAGCAGGTCCTTGATGTAGGCCAGCCTGCCTCAGGGAGGTGCTGGGTGACCTTGTGGGGGCAGGGGGGGATGAGGAATGCGGGGGAGGTCAGGAGGGGGTGGTAGTACTGACCACAGGCCAGCTGCCCATGCTGAGGGGGGCCAGTGAGCTGTTTTCAGTCCTGGCGCAGGGTCTGGGGGGGGTGTCCCCGAGTGGGGTAGGCAGCCTCCTCCAGTAATAGAATTAAGGAGGGGGAAAAGTACGCTCCAGCAGTCCCAGGGCTGGGGGAACTTCTCAGGCTGAGGGAAGGTAAAAGTGGGTGGGGGGGTTCCCCATGAAGGGGTGCAGCAGGAGAGCTGGAAGGTTGGAAACCCCCCATCCTTTCATTTCTTTTCTTTTGTTTTTTGGGCCATACCCTGTGGTGCTCAGCACTCCTGGCTCCACACTCAGGGATCCCTCCTGGTGGGGCCGGGGGACTATCAAATGTTCGGGGGATTGAACCCGGGCCAGCTGCACGCAAGGCAGGAGCCTCCCTCTGTGCTCTCCCAGGCTCTCTCTTCCTGCGCCTTACCAAGCTCTGACTGAGACAGGGACACGACCAGAACCCCAGTGGTGTCCCCGAGCTTGGGACACCCCTAGTTCTCTGGGCATATTTCCTGGCTCTTGCTTATGGTTTTTGGGGTTCACACCTGAAGGTTCTCTGGGTATTTCTGGCTCTGTGCTTGGGGGTAGCTCCTTGTGATCTTGCCAGGGAAGGAACTGGGGGCTCCCACAGGGTCAGTCTGAGCTCAGACTATTGTGCTCCTGTGGACCTCCAGTTTGCATCTGATCACAGCCTCCATGGCCACAGATACGTGTGTTGTATTTTTTAGGGGGGGCTCCAGGGATTATATGGGGTGCTGGGGATTGAAACCAGGCCAACTGCATGCAAAACAAGTGCCTTACACTCAGTACTACCTCTCTGACTGTCCTTACCTGTGAAATGGGACTGCAACCTGGACCACTTAGGTCACAGGAAGAAGGAAGGATCCAGTCAGGGCCGGGAGCAATTGGGTCCTCTGGAAATTCATTAATTCCAAAGATATTTACTGAGCAGCTTCAGGGCACTGGATGCTGGTACAGAGGATGAGTCGGAGGATTCTCTTTTTTTTTTTTTTTTTTTTTTTTTTACTTTTTGGGTCACACCCAGCGATGCACAGGGGTTACTCCTGGCTTTTGCACTCAGGAATTACTTCTGGCAGTGCTCAGGGGACCATATGCGATGCTGGGGATTGAACCTGAGTCAGCTGCGTGCAAGACAAGCGCCCTCCCCACTGTTCTATTGCTTGGGGTCCAGTTCTCCAAAGACACTTAGAGGCTGGGATGTCTTGATGCCAGGCCCTGGGGTTGGGACATTGGTCGCGGGCAGTGTTTGCACATCCTGAGGAAGCAGAAAGAGTAGGGGGTGGTGTGGGGGGTGGGGACCGGTGCTGAGCTGAGGGCATGTGGGGAGCGGGCTTCTGCTCACTAATCTTCAAGTTGGGAACAGGCTTTGCCTGGGTAGCTCAGCTGCCCAAGGCCAGCAGGGAAAGGAGAGAATTTGAGTTTACTCAAGGTCATGTGGAGCGAAAGAACAGAGAGACCCGGAAGGAGGAAGAGGCAGGGAAGAGGGAACTTGGGGGGAGGTGAGCAAGGTAGTCAGCAGCCAGGTGCATGGTGGGCAGACCCGGGTGCATTTCCCACGGGCGTTCTTGGCCATAGCCCAGCCTCAGCTCTCAAGACATCCTCCCCTCGGTGCATAAAGAGCTCTGTCCCCTTCTGGGCGAAACCTGCCGCCATCTCAAAGAGTTAAGGCACTTTACAGGCCTGGCTCAAAGGCTTGGTGGCTCCTACAGGGGTCCCCATGTACTACCAGGGTCACTCATGAGCACAGAACCTAGCTTAGCTTCTGAGCACCGCTGGGCGGGGTCCAGCCCTCAGTCTCCCACACAGTTGTCTTGAGTTCATGCATTGTCCTTTTCTTTTTTTTCTTAGTTTGGTTTTGTTTGGGGGCTTTTTCCTGGCTTCTCTGCTTAGGGATTAAAGCCTGGAAGGGCTTGGGGGACCAAAAGGGGTGGGGTGGGAGGCAAGTGCCCTACCCACTGTACCCCAGCCCTCCTACGTTGCCTTATCTTGAGAGAGATAGATGTTAGGGGGGGGGTGGAGGTAGGGAAAGCAGAAGAGCAAGGCACTGTCGATGGTCCGGGTTCTAGCTCACTCTCCCCCACCTGGGGAGGAGCCAGGGCAATGTCATCAATATCCCCAGCCTGGTGAGGACCATCGGCCAGTCCAACTTGTCCCCTATGTGGCCACCAAGGTAAAGCACCCTCTATCCCTTACCGGACAATCAGCCAAGACCATAGCGGGAAGCAGTCCGAGCCCACCTCCACCCCCACCCCCCTACCCCACCCTAGATTGAACTTCCTCTGCCGCAGGGTGCAGTACCAGCCAGGACCAAAGCTTTGGCCTTGGATGAGAGTCAGAATGGCATCCGGGTGAGCACCCCGAGAAGGTCAGAACGGGTGGAGGGGCAGGAAGAAAAGAGCGTGCCCCTCCCTGACCTTCTCCCTGACCTTTTTCTTCCTCCAGTGTCTCTCCAGGAAACATCTGATGCCCCTCTGGGAAGGGCTGGTCACTGTATCCCACAACCCCAGAACCACAGTCTGGTAAGGTACCAGATGGAAGCCCGAGTGGTAGTGGGGTTGCTTGCTTTGGGGGGGCGGTGATCACGCATGGGCAACCCTTCACCTGGCATCTGTGTCTCCAGACTCTAGGTGGCATGGGCCAGCCTGCTGCCTTGGGGGCCACAGCTGTATTGCTGGCCGCTGATGCCAGCTTCCTCGAGGGAACTGAAATCTCCGTTCCCAGGGCTGCAGAGCAGGGCTATGGCTGCAGAGCCAGGGCAGCCCCGCCCCTCTACCCAGTTCTTCCTGATTTCTCACTTTTGTACTGGGGTCTCCCCCTGGTTTCTACCGTGCGCCTGTCGGGTGGGTCCCAAAGGGCGGGCTGGTGTGGACATACGCCGTTTGCCAGTAGAAAGCCGGCGTTCTGGCCCTCCTCCGGTCTTTTTGGAGACCCGCAGCCCCCGCGGGACTACAGCTCCCCGAAGGCCTTGCGGCGGCGCCTGCGATTCCCCTGGCCTGTCGCCTGGGGGCGACGGGGCCCGGGCCGGGACGGTGGGTCCAGCCCGCGCCAAAGCAAAGGCCCGCAGGGAAGTAAATTAATCGCTAATTAGGAAATAGTGGAGCGCAAGGAGCAGTCCCTTCCCGGCCCTAGGGGAAAGGCAGAGTGTTCTTGGTCCCCTAGGCTCTGGGGGTAGCAGCCACCCAGAGTCCCGCGGGAGGAGGGAAGCCCGGGCTGAGCCTCCTGGGTTCCTGGGGGGAACGCAGGCCGAACTTCTAGGGAGCCGGACGGGCGGGAAAGGCCACGGGGAGAGGCCGATCCCGGGGACTCCCGGGTGGGGCGGGGATCCCGTTGGGGCCGAGCCCCAGGTGAAGGAGGTGGAGACCCGCGGCCGCCACGGATTGGTCGGGCTGGGGGGTGTGCGGCGGCCGCCGATAGGCCGCCGCGGGGGCGGGTCTGTGGGCGCCGCACCCCAAGCCCGTGCTGGGCGGGGGAAGGGGCAGGTCTGGGAAGGAAACGGGGCGACGCCCTCCCCGTGTGGGAGGAATTTGGGAGCCGGGCCCGTGACGCTCAGGGTTGAGGGACAGAATATGGGGGCGAAGTGACCCTGGGTGGAATCCGGAAGGTCCAGGGTTCCGCAGGACGCGGCCAGGACCTGGGATGAGTTCCCGGACCCGGGATATGTCCGAGAATGGAAGAGGAGGGTACAGTGCCCAGGGCCACGACGCGGGCTCTGGGCCAGGCTCGAACTGCCCGGGATTAGAGGGGTCCCCAGAGGCTATGATGAGCGGAGTGGGGTCCTGAGGTTGGGTCAGGGAGGGATGTAATCAGAAAACCCTTATTCTAGGGGTTGGTTGTCCATTGATGAAATGTGGGGAGGTCTTCCTCCGAGAGGTGCAAGGCGGGGTGAGCGGGACGTGTCCTTGCTCCACGCGGAGCTATAAAGCATCTCCCCACACTGGCTGGGAAGAACAGCATTCCAGCGGGGTTGGAGGGAAGCCCCGCACCCCCTGGCTGCCTGCTCGGATCCTTCCCCAGGGTCCCTTCCATGATGCTCACCCCGACTGCTAAGAGACGCTTCTCACCGAGCATCCAGCTGGCGGTGCCCCAACTTTGCCCTGTCTTCCCTGGGCTGCTTCTCCTCCTGAGACTCGGTGACCAGCCTCCCTAGGAAAATAAAAAATGCAGAAATAAAATGTCCGGGGCAGGCTGCAAGCCCTCGCACTGTACGAACCCTTCCCGGCCCTAAAGCGCATTCTGTGGGTTTGGGGGCCACACCCAGCGCGGTGCTCAGGGCTTAACTCCTGGCTCTGCGCTCTTGCATCACTCCTGGTGGGGCTAGGGGAACTTTATGGGGTGCTGGAGATGGAATCTGGGTCGGCCGCGTGCCAGGCAAGTGCCCTCGCCGCGGTGCTATCTCTGTAGCCCCCAAAGCGCCTTTTTGAAAAGAGCCTCCTTGCGCGCCCGGGTAGAAGGTGTGTGGGGGGGGGGAAGGCCTGGGGTGGGGACTGGGGGGGGGGGCACGCCCGCGGGGGGCGCGCATGCGCGGCGCGCGCCCGGGAGCGGAGGGGGCTGGGCTCCCGCGGGAGGGGGCGTGAGCGGGCGGGGCCGGAACGTCTTTCTCCGGCTGCGGGCGGGAGGCGCCACTTCCCCGCCACACCGGTCATGGCTGCAGCTGCTCGGGGCCAGGTGGGTTCGCCGCTCGGGGCCGCCGGCTCGGGAGTGCCCCGGGGAGGAGCATTTCCGGGAAGGCCACTCTTTCGGGGCGCCGCTGCTGCGGGGTCCTGCGACGGGGAGGCGCGCGCGCGTGTGTGTATGTTGGTGGGGAGGGGGAGTCCCTCCTCGGAACCGAACCGGAGGTTTAACTGCAAGGGAGAAGAGAGTAACGTATGAAGAGAGGATCGGTCGGGAGATGTGCCGGGAAACTGCTTGGAGGAGGAGACAAGTATGGGCGCAGCACGGGGTGAGGGGCGGAGGATAAAGGGGGGGCACAGGTAGCTTTGTGGGGGGTTCCCCGGGACGGAGGGGGCGGGGACGGGGCGTATGGAACCGTTGGGGATGAAGGTATAGAGTTCCGTTCTCCTGGGGTCACTGGTCCTGTGTTTTGGGCGCTCAAGGTTAAGTGGATGTGAAATGTGTCTCCCCAGAGCCCCTGCTGGGAGGCTGTACGCCCTCCCACCCACCCCCCCTCCACCAGGTGTTGGAGACAGATGCTCGCCCCGAGAACCTCTTCCAGATGCCAGGTTGAAGCCGAGTTCCTATAGAAGAGGGTTTTTCAGGGTTCCAGCTCCCTGGGGGCTTCCAACCCCAGAAGGGAGGGGGTTGGAAGGTCAGAGTTTGATGCTTTCGGGGTATCGGGAATTGCTGGCCCCTGGCCCAGGCAATCTGGGTTTGGTGGTGACACTCAGGCTGTGAAGGGACAGCCTGGATTCTGGCGGGGAAGGCCTTGGGCATTGCTAGGGCAATCCTTTTCGGGGTTGGAAAAGCTTGGAGCTGGGTTTGGGGGGCTGAACCTGGGAGGCGTTTCTCTCCCTGGGGATTTTCTGAGCCAGGCTGTGTGGATTTGTTTCGGATGTGAAGGACAGAATTCGACTGTGACAGAAACTCTGCTGGCTTTGGACAGTTGGCAGCCACAGGCGGTGTGGGAAGGCAGGTCTGGAAGGTGGTGGGGACAGTCCTGGGCTATGATGAGCCCCAGGGGACATGGCCTCATGGGATGGGCGCAGGCCAGCCCTGGCCACCTCCCTCCAATGCACAGTCTTCCTAACTGCATTCTGTCTCTTCCTAATTGCATTAGCCCCTTCGACTCCCCCCATTCCCCCCCAGCAAAACCAGTCACATTGTGGGAAGTTCCTTTTGGCAGGTGGGAGTCTAGGCATGGGGTGGGGTGGAGGGGAACCTTGTTACGAGGGCATTGTCCCTAGAGGGCAGACTGGGTCGCCCACGTCCGCTGCCCAGCACTTTCTCTGCCAGGGGGGTGTGGTGTTCTGCCTTTCCTGAGTCCTGGCGGGTGCACCCCAGAGACGTTTCCTTTGGGTGCAGGCTGGCACTGCTCCATTGCCCAGGCTCTCGCATGCCTCTACAGCTCCCTCTCAGCCCGCCTGGTTCCTTTTTCCTCGTTCTAGTCTCTCCTCTCCTCACACTTGGCCATCTTCCTCTTGTTTTTCCTCTGTTTGTTTGGGGACCACGCCTGGCAATGCTCAGGGATCATTCCTGGTGGGACTTGAGTGACCCTATGGGATGCCGGGGATTGAACTTGGGTCAGCTGCATGAAAGGCAAGCCCCTTGCCCGCTGTCCTATTGTTCTGGCCTCATCGCTCTCCGGGATTTTTCCAGGTTTCACTTTGACTAAGTTTGTCCCTCGGCCCCTGCCCCCCTCCCCGTTTTTCTTTTTAAATAGATCTTTATCTATTTTGGCCTTGACTTCACTTCTATTTCCAAGTCTTTGTTCTTTAGTTTGTTCTTGGGGCTGGTGTGGGGTGGGGGTTCTGGGGCACTTTGGGGGGCTGAGGCCCAGGTCAGGGCTTCCACTGCAAATTACTCACAGCAGCTCTTCGATCTCTTTTCCTGGTCCCCAGTTTTACTTTCGATTTTGTTTGAGGGTCACACTTGACTGTGTCAGGGGGACTCCCAACTTGGTGTTTTGGGGTGGCTTCTGCTAGAACTCAAAGGACTCTAAGGGTGAGTAGATAGTCCAGTAAGGCGCTTGCCTTGCAAGTGGCCAACCCAGGTTTGATCCTGGCACCTCATAGAGCTCCTTGAGCCCTGCCAGGGGTGATCCCAGAACTTAGAACAAGAGCGAGCCTACCGCACCCCCGATTTTTGGGCCCCACCACCTGGCACTCAGGAATTACTCCTGGTGGAGATCAGGGGACCATATGGGATGCGGGGAACCATCCTGGATTGGCTGCGTGCAAGGTAAACCCCCTCCCGGCTGTACTACCTGTCTGTCTCCCAAGAGTAGGCCCTGAGCATGGCCAGGTTAGCCCCCAAACCAAAAACAAAGGTGCTGGGCATTGAAGCTGGGACTTTGCCCGCTAAGCTTACGCTCAACCCTTTGAGCCGTCTCCCCAGCCAAGCATCTCATTCTTGCTCATTCTTGTGTTACTCACTGTTTTTCCATTCAGGCTTCCTCTCGGGGCCTTCTCCTGCCCAGCTGCTGACTGTTTGCGTCCTGTGTTCTACCCTGTCCCTTTTGTGGCTGTCCCGGACTACCCTACTAGCCAGAGGGTGTCAGCGGGCACATGCTGGTCACACACCGCCACCTAGAGGCCGTGTCCTAGAACCACACCGTGACTCAGAGCCACCCACAGCCAGCCCAGACTGTCCCTGCTGCCCCTCCACCAGTGACTCACCTCCTGAGCAGTGCGGGAGGCCTTCTGCGGTCCCGAGGCTGATATCAGCATGCAGGGGGCTCCAGATGCCTGGGGCTGCCACACCCGAGACTGAGAACCCGGCCAGCTGCTGCGGCTTCAGCAGTGGGGAGCCTGGGCCATGAAGTTACCCCTGGGAAGTGAAGGGAACTGTAATCTCTGCTGCCCAAGTGAGGCTGAAAGAACTCAAACTTGATCTGAGGGAGAAGGGGCTGGGGCTGGGTCCTAGGTCTGAGGGAGGAGGGGCTGGGGGTCTGGATCCTGGGTCTGAGGAAGGAGGGGCTGGGGGTCTGGATCCTTTATCTGAGGGAGGAGGGGCTGGGGCCTAGAATCCCGGGGTCTGAAGGACGGACAGGGTGCCTAGACCCCAAGTCTGAGGGAGGAGGGGGAAGCAGTTTCTTCCTCTTGTTGGGATCTGGTTCGCGGGCCTCCCCTTACCTGGCACCATTGCACCGTCCACACCGTCCTCTGCTCAGGTCCTCTGCTTCTGAGCTCGGGTGTGGAGACCAAAGTTCCCTGGGGGCGGGCGCTCTGGCCTGGATCTGCCGGTGCCTGCTGGGAGGAGGGGCGGGAGCTACTCCAGCTCCCTCCCCAAGGCCTCTGCTTCCGCTCCCGGCTGGCTAGACCCCCCCCACCCCCGCCTCCAGCAGGCCAGAGGGGACCTCCAAGCCCAGAAGAGGTCAGAGGGGTGGGGGCCCAGGTTCTCCCGTCCTCACTGCTTTTCTCGCTTCTGTCCCCACCTTCAGATTTGGGCCCAGAAACTTCTCCTGGTTCCTTGGCTTCTGCGCAGCCCCAGAAGATATGCCTCCTCCAACTTCAAGGTGACGGGAGGTTGGAGGGTTCCCAAGCAGGGAGGGTCTGAGGGAGGAGGCCTTTGGGCCTGGGATTCGGTCTGAGAGAGGAGGTGGAGGTGGGTGGCCTGGTAGGGGCCAGGAGGGAATGGAAAGAGATGGATCTTGGCACCGGGGTTCCTGGGAGCTGTAGTTTTCCCCTCGGGAGCTTGTGGCATGATCCTGAGACACCAGTGTCCCTTGTGTTTCCCCAGGCTGCAGACCTGCAGCTGGAACTGACCAAGACACCCCAGCAGAAGCCGGCCACAAGCGAGGGCCTGGTCTTTGGGAAGACGTTCACTGACCACATGCTGATGGTGGAGTGGAATGCAGAGAAGGGCTGGACCCGGCCCCGCATCCAGCCCTTCCAGAACCTCTCACTGCACCCAGCCTGCTCTGCGCTCCACTATTCCCTGCAGGTGCCCCCACTGCCCCCTCCCCCCCCCCCCCACCTGGTTGGTCCCCCTGCCTGCTTCCTTCCACCTGCCCTGTCTGTGTTCTCTCTTGCCCCAGCCTAAACACTCAACCTCGGGAGTGTGCCATGTCCCAGGTCCTGTGGGGACCCCTTTCTCTTGAAGGCCTTCCCCGAAGGGCTGTGGCTGGAGCACAGCTGCCTGTCGCTGGGCTTGATCTCTGCCCATCTGCTCCCCCAAAAGTCACCAGAAAAGTAGAGGCCAGAGCAATAGTACAGCAGGGAGGGCATTTGCCTTGCACATGGCAGACCCAGTTCGATTCCCCAGCACCCCTGAGCCTCACCAGGAGTGATCCCTGAATGCAGAGCCACCTGAGCACAGCCTGAGCCAAAAAGATAACTATTCTGGAGAAACTGGGAGTGATATTCTTTTTTTTTTTTCCTTCTTTTTTTTCTTTTTGGGTCACACCCAGTGATGCTCAAGGGTCACTCCTGACTCTGTGCTCAGGAATTATTTCTGGTGATGCTCGGGGGACCATATGGGATGCTGGGAATAGAACCTGGGTCAGCCGCGTGCAAGGCAAACACCCTCCCTGCTGTACTATCACTTCAGCCCAAGTCAACTTATTTGCCTGCACTCGCTGACCAGGGTTTGATCCCTTGCACTGCCAAGGGGCCTCCAGCACCATCAGGTGTGGGACCCCAAAAGAGAAATCAGCCTAGCAAAGGGACAGTTCACAGAGAAGGAAGCACAGCTAGCCGCATGCAGATCAGTGGACGGGCGCTGCCTTCAGAACCTGAGCAATGCAGATTAGAATCACTTGTCAGGGACCAGAGCAGTAGAAGTGGGGAGGGCGTTTGCCTTGCAGGCTAACCCAGGTTCGATCCCCAGCACCCCAGATGGTCTCCCCAAGCACCGCCAGGAGTGATTCTTGAGTTCAGATCCAGGAGTCAGCCCTGAGTATTGCTGAGCATGACCCCCCGTCAAAAAAAAAGTCACTTAGGAAACTGGCAGATGAAAACCTTTGATAAGGGTAGCCGGATCCAGAAATCAAGCTTGGTGCATCCATGGGCAGACTGACCCAGCCCGCGCAGGGACACTGTGGCAATCCCTGCCATAGGATGATGGCATCCCTTTGCTCATGCTTGCGCCATCACACAGGGGGAGTCTGCCCCCACCCCCTGGGCTGCTCCTTGGGTGGGGCCCACTCTCATATGCACTCTCCTCGACTGGCACCACCTTGACACATGGCAAGAGGCTCTCTGACGCAGCTGTTGCAGAAATGGTGTAGGAGACTCCTTGCCCCGAGGGGGCATGTGTTAGAAGGCTGGCACTCACAACGGGGAGTGGAAGCCCAGCTGGGAACAGCCTCCAGGGCTCACTGGCTGCCCGAGGCTGTGCACCTGCACAGCCTTGAGCACAGCTAAGAGAGCTCAGTGGGTCAGAGGTGGAGACTGTCTGTCTGTTTTTCTGTCTGTCTGCTCTCCCCCTCCCTCCCTCACTCCCGCCACTGTACAGTCTCTTTCTCTGTCCAATCTCTCTCCCCCCTGCTGTTCAATCTCCCAATCTCTCTCTCTCTCTCTCTCCCCCCCCCCCAATCTCAGGGCTTACGCTTGTCTTTGTGCTCAGGGATCACTCCTAATGGTGCTCAGGGGACCATATGGGTTGCTGGGGTTCAGCTTCAGCGGCATTGAGAGAAGATTAGCTCCTGTTCCATCTCTCTGGCTTTTGGATATTGTATCATTTCAGCCTGTTTTCAGCGTTTTACAAAATCACTTTTGTTCGTTTGTTACTACACCTGGTAGTACTCAGGGGCAGTTCCCTGCCCAGCGCTCTGCAGGTGTGAGGCCAATTTTGATCCCAGACGTTGCACTGTCCCCTGAGCACCACTGGGAGCCCCGCTAGGGTCTCTGGCTCCCCAAAAAGAAAATAAATAAATAAAACTTTCTCCTCCACACTCCAGCCTGTTCTGGATCGCAGATCCTGTAGCCTGGAAAAGCCCAACTGGGCGCCTCCCCAATCTCTCTGTCCTCCACCTTTTCCCGCAACTCCGTTTCTGTGCATCCATCTCACCCTCCCCGCCCCCCCCCCCCACTTCCCGCCGTCTGTGCGGGGGCTCAGGTGGTCTCTATCCCCGCAGCTCTTCGAGGGCATGAAGGCCTACAAGGGCCCGGATGGGAAGGTGCGCCTCTTCCGCCCCTGGCTCAACATGGACCGGATGCTGCGCTCTGCCCTGCGCCTCTGCCTGCCGGTGAGGGGTGAGGGAGTGAGGGCCCTGGCGGTGGGGCGGAGCCTCCTGGAAGGGGCGGGGCCTCTGGGCGCCACCTGACTCCATGACCCTGCAGAGCTTTGACAAGGCCCAGCTGTTGGAGTGCATCCGGAGGCTGGTGGAGGTGGACAAGGACTGGGTGCCAGACAGCGCGGGCACCAGCCTCTACGTGCGCCCTGTCCTGATCGGCAACGAGGTGGGCTAGGGGATCAGATGGGGAGACCCCAACAAGGGAGATTGGACCCCGATTCCCAATCTCTGACACCCTCTGTGCCCGCGGCAGCCTTCGCTCGGTGTGAGCCACGCCTCCAGAGCCCTCCTGTACGTCATTCTCTGCCCGGTGGGCGCCTACTTCCCCGGAGACGCCTTGACTCCCGTGTCGCTCTTGGCGGACCCCACCTTCATCCGTGCCTGGGTGGGTGGGGTCGGCGACTGCAAACTGGGGGGGTAAGTGGCCCCTCCCATGGGCTCGGGCATGGCACGTGTCTGTGTGCCAGCTGCCCGTCCCAGTCATTTCGCATGTTGGGGACAGTGTGCTGCCAGAGGCGGTTCACTGCAGTTCAGGGAGGGTGGAGGTCTGTGGGGAAGCAGATGGGCACATGGGAGGCCCCAGAAATGAAGCTTCCACTGGGCTCCTTGCACTTTCCTTACCCTAGAAGCCTCCCGAAGCCCAAGCAGGGTTGGTGCTCCCCGCCCCACACCCATGTCTGCCGTAGTCCCTGGCCAGGAAATGTGGCACTAGGGGTACTGGCACAGCAAGAGGGGAAGGGCTGGTGCTGATCGGGAATTGGGGGGCTGTATGGGCCTTTGGGGGCTTCATTCCCATAGTTTGAATACGTACAGTGAAGTCTTAAAGACATGACCCTTCTCAGTAAAGGTAGGGACACAGAGGGGTGGGTATGGGCCTTGTACCCCAGGGGTCCTGAGCCGTGGGAGTTCCAATATCAGGGTGCTCATTAATGAACACAAACAGACTTTTTGGGGGTGGGTCACAGACTAACACCCTGTCTGAGTTTGTAGAGAAGGAAGACATTTCCTGGTGTAAGATTCCTTAGCCTCAGAAATACATACATTTAGGGGCTAGAATGATAGTGTTTGCCTTACACGCGTCCTAACCCAAGTTCAATCCCCAGCATCCCATATGGTCCCCTGAGTCCCCCAGGAGTGATCCCTCAGTGCACAGCATGCATCTCTTGGGTGTGGCCCAGAAACAAAAACGAATTTATTTGAGGGTGGTGGAACCTCTCACACATGAGTGATTTCTTATGGGGGCTGGGGGGCCTGGATGGGGGCAGAGTCGGGGATTTTTCAGAGAAGGACATTTGTCGGGATTCATAAGTCACAGTCCAGTCTGATCCCAGCCTGGGGGGGTGCTGGAAGGCTTGTGTGCCCTTAAGTGGGGGGCGAGGTCAGCTCTGTGTGGAAAAGTATTGTGGGACTGGAGTGATAGTACAGCAAGTGGGGCTCTTACCTTGCATATGGCTGACTCAGGTCCAGTCCCCAACACCCCATATGGTCCCCCAAGCCCCACCAGGATTGATTCCTGAGCAGAGATCCAGGAATAAGCTCTGCATACTGCAGGGTGTGTCCCAGAAACCAACAACAACAAAAAGAACAGAGTTGGGGCTTCCAGAAACCATGGAGGCGCTCCACTTCCTGTGGGGGGTGGCTGAAATGCAGGCTGAGAGGGGAAAAGGTTCCTGCAAAGGTGACCTCAACCGTGGGGGTGTGGTGGGGGGGGTGCCCTTCTGATCTGGGGAGAGGTTGGGAAGGGCCTGTGGCCTACCCAGAGAAACGTCCAGCACCTAGCTAGGGATTTGGTGGGGGAGCGGGGGAGTCACAGGAGGGGCTGGCCCGGTGACAGGTGGCTACTGTCTCTCAGGAACTACGGGCCCACTGTATTCGTGCAGCAAGAGGCCAAGAGGAAGGGCTGCGAGCAGGTCCTGTGGCTGTTTGGGCCTGATCACGAGCTCACCGAGGTGGGCACCATGAACATCTTCGTCTACTGGACCTACGAGGATGGGGGTAAGCCCCCGCCCAGCCCAGCCCAGCCCCGGCATGCGGGGGAGCGCGGGAGAACGGAAGGTAACCCTTATCCCCTGTCCCTCTAGTTCTGGAGTTGGTGACGCCCCCGCTGGACGGCGTCATCCTTCCCGGAGTTGTCAGGCAGAGTCTGCTGGACCTGGCGCAGTCCTGGGTGAGGCCCCGGAGCGGGGGTGTGGGGGGGGGGCTTGGGGGCCCCTGTACCCACGCACAGCCCTTCTCTCTGGGCGTCTCTCCCCCATCGTGTGTCTCCTGCCTGTCTCACCACCCTGGCGGTAGGAGAGTTGGGGCTCCACAGTGGGCCCCCCCCCCCCCTCACGGGTGCCTGAAATCCCCCGGGCTGCAGGGAGATTTCCGGGTGTCCGAGCGGAAGATCACCATGAAGGAGCTGACGCGGGCGCTGAAAGAAGGCCGGGTGCGGGAAGTCTTCGGTTCAGGCACCGCCTGCCAGGTCTGCCCGGTGCACCAGATCCTGTACCAAGGCCAGGTGAGGCGGTGGCGGCGGCGGCGGTGGGGAGGGAGATGGGGAGAGGGGAGGGGGCGGTGCTCATGGCGCACCTTCTTCCTCAGAACCTGCACATTCCCACCATGGAAAACGGCCCTGAGCTCATCCACCGCTTCCTGAAGGAGCTGAAGGCCATCCAGGTGGGCGTCCTGGCGGGGGCAGGGCACTGGAGGGAGTTCACTCTGGTGCAGATGCTAGTGGTGAGGCCCCTAAGACCCAGCCCTGTGGCTCTTCCCATTCGCGGGCACCGCCCCTTCCGCCTGCTCCTCCCACTCAGGCTACACCATTCCGTAGACTCCGCCCATTCGTAGGCCCACCCGTCCCGTAGGCTCCGCCCCAGACTCTGCCCGAGACAGCGAATCATCCTAAGGGGGAAACTCAGCGAAGAGCTTGTGCTTTTGTGAGGCCCCAGGTCCTCTCAGCCCCCTACACAAATCTAAGCGCCTGTTCTCTGGGCTGATTGCTTGGCTTGAGAAGGCCCCTTCTCCTGAGGATTTTAAGAACCCCTCTGACCATAGGAAGACGCCCCATGGATCTGCTGGAGTCTGGGCCACATCTCTCCGGCCTGAGAAATTCTGCCAGTCTCGTCCAAGCCACTCTCTCCCACTCCCCATGGTCGTGCACAGGCTTCCGGGAAGTGGACTACATTTCCCATGGGAGCTTGGGGCACGATGCCTAAAGCCCTCAGCTCAGGGCACCGCGGGGGCCTGCTGGGTGTTGCAGTCTAGATTCCTGCTCAGTCTCTGCCTCTCGTCCCCAGAATGGAACCAAAGGACACGAGTGGATGTTGCAAGTGTGATGCTGCAGTCTGTGCCCGACCAGCCGTCGGACCCATCAGCCCGTAGCCCTAGTCCCTGCTGGACCCTCGTCTTCATACCAAGGACTCACCCCAAGTGCAATAAGACTGAAGGCCTGGGCCGGGGGCGCCCGGGTCTCTGGGCCCCGCGGGGTTGCTATATTCCCAAAGCCATAAGGGCCAGAACCAGTCGTCTTGGCTCCAAGCCCCATCTCTCAGGCCTGGGGATCTAGATCCCCGAAGCTCCGTTTGGGGGGGTCAAAAGAATGCATTTTGACCCCGAACTCCACCTCCGTTTCCAGGCTGGATCTCCCAGCAGTGCCATTGATAGATTTGTCTTTTTTTTCTTGCTGCGGTTTTGAAATAAAATGCCAAAGAACAAGATATTCGCTGCCATCTCAGGGGCACCCCTCGGGACACCCAGGCACCACCATCCTTGGCCTGTTTCTTTTCCCAAACCAGCAGAGCCAGCCCCAGTGTCCTGGTTTATCCTGGATATTCTGGCGAATATCCTCACTACTCCCATGCTGAGCTTAGCCTCTCCTGGCACCCCCAGACATCTCCCCACTTCCCTGCCTAGGGGACACCTACCTTCCATCAGTCACTGACCCTCACTTCTGTCCCCCAAATCCATGCAACCCCCTGGAGCCCTGTCCGATCCTCACTCTGGTTGATCTCCCTCTCCTGTACCCCTTCAGGGAGGGCCCCCAAGGGGTCAGTGGTCATCCCCAGCTTTACCTGCCCAGGTTTTTCCAGCCCACACAGCTGGAGCAACAGAGAGGGCCCTGGCAGAGGGCCCCTGAGGGGTGAAGAGCAAGTGTAAGACTTGACCCGTTGTTGGTCTATGACCCTGGCTGGTACTTCAGTGCCATAGGAGGCAGCGCTGCTCAGGCCTGCTGTGCTGGGGAGCCCCACCCAGGGTTCTCCAGAGCCAGTGCCAGGAGCTAAACTGGGGTCCGCATGCAGGAAGGCACCTTATCTGGTTATCTGGTGCCAGACCAGCAGGTGCAGCTTTTTTTTCTGACACTGTGGGGCTCATAGGGGGCCTGTCTTGTAGTCATCAGTAGGGGCTCAGCATTCTGATTTGTTGGGGCAACAGCTGACCCTTGCCACATCTTCTCCTCAGTTCCCTCTTGTCAGTGATTGCTCAAAGGACAGTCTTGGGCCAAGGGGATGTAAGGGGAAACTGCCTGGAGGCCTCTGGGGAATCTCTTGATGAAAGAACTTGGTACTGTGGGGTGTGGCTCAGTTCTAGAGCACTCCATGTGTGAGGTCCTGGTTTCAGCTTAATCCCTGGCACTAGTTCCATTTACATACAGAGGTGCTACCATTATTTTTGTCTTCTGTCTTTGGTAGTGATGAGCCAGATGAGTGATGGTTGGAGCTGCTGTAGTCATTTTGTGCCCCTGAGTAGTGCCCACATGCAGCATAGCTCTCTGCATTCTCCAACCATGAAACTTATAGTTAATTATGTTTCCTGGTTCTGTACTTAGAAATTACTCCTGGCAGTGCTCAGGTAACCATATGGGATGGAACCCGTGTGCAAGGCAAATGCCCTACCTGCTGTAATATCTGCTGTACTATCACTATAACCCTTAAGCCACATAAAGAAAATTGTCACTTAGGTTCTAAGGTTAAAGTATATTTTATGGTTTTGATATACAATATTATTGTATCTTCATCACGTGGAAATGCCCTTACACCCTCTGCCACTGTCCCTTGTCATTTCAAGTCCTCTTCCTCCTCATCTCCCACAACTTGGTAATCCCAATTCTGCAGCCAAAGTCCAAGGAAGGGTTTGTCATTAAATTGTATCTGTTTCCTTGTTTTGTCTCTGTTCCACTAGTAAGTGCAATCATAAGTCTGAATTTGTTCTCTTTCTGACTCATCTGGGGCTTAACACAATCCCCTCCAGTTCCACTCAAGCTGCAGCAAACTGCAAGATTTTATCTTCGCTTAGAGCTGAGTGATATTCCTTTGTGTATGTTGGGACACACCGGCGGTGCTCAGGGCTCAGGGCTCACTCCTGGTGGTGCTTGGGGAACCATAAAGGGTGTGGGGGATTGGCCACATGCAAGGCAAGCTCCCTACCTGTGGTACTATCACTCTGGCCCACCTTTGTGTCTGCTTAAAGCTGGCTTTCTGTTTGCTTTTCATTATTTTTACTTGGATTTTGAATTTTTCTTGACTATGACAGGCAGTCTTCCTTCGTTGAAGGGTCAGGTGAATGAGACCAGTTGTAGTTACTGGTTTTGGCATATTGAATACACAGCGGATAGCTTGCCAGGCTCTTCCGTGCAGGCGGAATACTCTCGGTAGCTTGCCAGTCTTTCCGAGAGGGATAGAGGCTTTTGGGGTGACATCTAATCACCCTTGTAGTGTTACCATATTTGAACCCTATCAAATATGGTACGACAATTCCAGAAGATGGGTATTTAGTGTTTTATGATGTGTCGCGGCCTCGCGGGTCCAGAAAGCATCCTGGAGTGTGGCGACAGCTGGGTAGTGGAAGTAGTGTCGAGAGTGGAAGTCTGCCAGTGGGGTATTTATCTGGGTAGGGTGGGTCTCCTGTGCACAATTCGATCCCTGGGTGGTTGATGGAAGCAGACAGGGCAGGGTAGGGTGGGGCTCCTGATTAGAATCCCTCTGTCACCTGTGGTGGTGGGAGCAAGCAGAGAAGCTCTGTCCCTGGGTCCGCCGAGCCTGGAGTCCAAGGTCTCAGAGAGTTCCGCTTATCTTGTTCTGTGGGTCTTCAGTCGTGCGTGGGTCTCGGCCGGAGCTGCCACGCGGGTCCGGAAAGCGTCCTGGAATGTGGCGACGGCTGGGTAGTGGAAGTAGTGTCCAACGAAGGAAGACTGCAGTATTCTGTTGAGATGGAAGCGGTCATTGAAGCCCTAGCCAATCAGGGTATTCAAGCCCAATACATCAGGATCCTCCGTGAGCTGTATTGCGGATTCACTACCAGGATCTCACCATTCTACAAAGAAGTGATCGTTGATGTCAAGAGAGGGGTTCGGCAGGGTGATACCATTTCACCGAAACTCTTCAGTGTCACCCTCGAGAACATCATGCGACGACTGGAATGGGAAGGAATGGGAGTGAAGATAGATGGTCGGCAACTACACCACCTCCGCTTTGCTGATGACATTGTTTTAATAACACCAAACATCAGTCAAGCGGCACAAATGCTGGCGACTTTGACCGTGAGTGTGGAAAGGTAGGACTACAGCTGAATCTTACGAAGACAATGTTTATGAGAAACAGCCTTGTTCCTGACGCCCCATTCGCTCTCAATGGAACGACCATCTCCGAATGCAACAGCTATGTGTACCTAGGTCGAGAGGTCAACATGACAAATGACCTGGCACCCGAGCTGCGCAGGAGGAAGAAAGCGGCTTGGAACGCCTTCAAGAACGTCGAAGAAATAGCTAAGAGGACGAAGAACCTCCGGCTCCGGGCACATCTCTTTGATTCCACTGTTCTTCCTGCATTAACATATGCCTCAGAGACCTGGGCCCTACGCAAACAGGATGAGAACGCTATTCAGGTCTCCCAAAGAAGAATAGAAAGAGCTATGCTTGGAATATCACGTTTCACTCAAATGAGAGAGAGAATCTGGAGTTCTGACATCCGTCGACGATCAAGAATCAGGGACGCTGTCTCATATGCCAAGGTGTCGAAAATCAGATGGGCTGGTCACGTAATGAGATTTAAAGATGACCGTTGGACTAGAGCTGTTACTGATTGGATTCCACGGGATGTCAAAAGACCGCGTGGCCGCCCACCTACCAGATGGTCAGACTTCTTCGTCAAGATCATGAACAATCGGTTTGAGGCCCTTCATGTTCCCGGAGCGAACAGATGCCATTGGGCTACACTAGCACGCGACAGGGACAAATGGAGACGTTACTGGCGCCCGCTCGAGCAAATCGACGACTAACGGGAAGTTAAGTGATTAAGTGATGACAGGCAGTCAAAGGCTTCTCTGCTGCTTGGCTCCTGCCCAGGGTGGTACTGATTGAACTAGGGAGAGGCCTTGAGGCCAGGAGTCAATTGAGTTGCTGGATATAACTGAGCTCTAAAGAACTTGAGGCTCAGGTTTGAATCCTGAGCAGGATGATCAAAGAAGAGGAAGTAACCTGGTTATGGGATTAAAAACCAGCGAGAGACCTTCTTGAGAGGCTGAGATAAACCCACCTTTAGAAAGAGTGGAGTGAAACAGATAGGTGAAACAGATAAATGTGGTTTTGTATAATACACTGACACTTGACCACTTGGTTTGCATTCACCTGGGCTCTGAAGTGGGCACTTGTTTCCATCTGAGGGCTCCCCATTCAGCGATTTGCCAACGGTAGGGCCAGAGAAACAGTACAGGGGTCCAGGTGCTTGCCATGCACATGACTAACCCTGATTTGATTCTGGCACCCCAGATGGTCCCCCAAGCCCCACCAGGAGAGATCCTTGAGTGCAGAGCCAGGAGTAAGCCCTGAGCACTACTGGGTGCGGCCCAAAAGACAAATAGTGAAAACAAAATGAGTACTTGAAAAAAAGTCTTTGGGTAGGGTTCAACGGTGGTACCTCTGGGGCTTTGGTGTGAGGTCAGGAGTTTGATCCCCTGCACCATTCCACGTGCCCCAGTTCCGCCCTTTGGCACTCCCCAACCATTCCAGGGACTACAAAGGGAAGGGGGAATGAAAAAGCAACGAAGAACAAGACAAAATTGAGAAAAAGGAGTTGGAGAGAGAGTACAGCAGGAGGGCAGTTGCCTAGCATGCGGTCTACCTGGGTTCAATCCCTGGTTTTCTCCTGAGTTCTGCCAAGAGTGATTCCTAAGTGCTGAACTAGGAGTAACCCTTGAGCATCGCTGGGTGTGCCCCACCCCGCCAATAAAACAAGAGAGATAGAAGGAAAACTTAATATTTGAGATGATAAAATTAAAACAAACGAAAAAAACCAAAATCCTTCAAAAACTAGAAATTGTGCTTCCAATGACCCCACAATACCACTTCTGGGAATATATCCCAAGGATGCAAAAAAAAAGCACAGTAGGAATGACATCTGTACCTATATGTTCATTGCAGCACTGTCTACAATAGCCAAAATCTGGAAACAACCCAAGTGCCTGAGAACAGACAACTGGTTAAAAAAACTTTGGTACATCTGCACTGTAGCACTGTCCTCCCATTGCTCATCGATTTGCTTGAGCAGGCACTAGTAACATCTCCATTGTGAGACTTGTTACTGTTTTTGGCATATCGAATACGCCACAGGTAGCTTGCCAGTCTCTCCAAGAGGGATGGAGGAATTGAACCCGGGTCAGCCATGTACAAGGCAAATGCCCTACCCGCTGTGCTATCACTCCAGCCCTTGGTATATCTACACAA